TGCCTTGGTTGGTTTGACAGAGACGTAATTGCATTATCACAACGGGCTTGTGCCTTTGCCGTTATCACGGGATGCCTCGGTGTTGCTGCTGCGGTGATGAAGATGAAACTTGCATTGATAGTGTGTCATCAAAGAAATTCCCTAGAAAACAGTTCCTAGACTGTTGGCCCTTGGGTAATGACATGAGCGAGTAATTTAGAGGGAGTAATGGCAGCAAGGGAGAGCGCAGTGCCGATGAGCTGCGGGGGATCGTGCAGGTCTGTGCTGTGCTTGGGGACCCTGCATCCCTGGGGCAGGAGTTACAGCCCGGGGAGCTCTGGCTGTTAATGCCGTTTTTGTGTTACTCCGAGCTGATGTTTGAGGCTGCAGCATCGTCCCGCGTGGGCAGGCTGGCTGCCCCAGCTCTTGGTGCAGTAACAGAGTTCTGGGGACCTACAAATTACAAGTCCAGTATGTTTGAGGCCTATATAAAATGGAGTGATTCTTCTCTACCCTAAAATACTCCTGTTCTGCTCTTGAAAAGTGAGCCCTTAAGGGATCTGTGAATCCTGGTGAGGATGTTGAGGGTTTGAACTCGTAAGACACGCGTTTCCCTAAATCAGTCTAGGGAATCTTCACATCGCTTCAGTCACCTCAGAGAATGGTTGGGGTGGCGTAGTCAACCAGACAGTACTATGGCTAATTACTGCTGCCAGTTAATACAAAAGAAGTTTAATAGGATTGCCAAAAAGATGAAAGAAAATTTGGAAGACTATTTGTCTCTAGCAGCACAAGTTTAATAAAACTGTGTGCTAATAGCCTCACATTTTAATTAAGTGTTTGGGACTTTCTGCGCGTATCCCAAGTGTCTTGTACTGTACTTACCATGCTCAGCGATTACTTAGATTTGAATATATGCTCATTAGAATTCCTCGGGGGTTTAAAATGTGTAGTAGGCCTGTCCTTTGGTAATTTGCTCCTTGGGTCTGCAAATGAAGAGTCTCTCACCTCAGACCGCGGAGGGTCCTGCTGAGGGTCGGAGGGTCCTGCTGAGGGTCGGAGGGTCCTGCTGAGGGTCGGAGGGTCCTGCTGAGGGTCGGGGGGTCCTGCTGAGGGTCGGAGGGTCCTGCTGAGGGTCGGGCTTGTTGCGAGCCCCAGAGGCGTGTGCTGCAGGCAAAGATGGGCGAAGGCGACTCACCCCCTTTCCCCTCCCTCCTCTCTCAAAAGGTCTGCCGCACGCAGCTGGGTGGCTCCGTTCCTTTCTTTGCTAAGCTGGGTATTTACTTGGGTTCAGTGGTGAAATGTTGGGAAGCTTTACTCCGTAGAAGAGCCCGGGGAGCTGTGCTGGGTGTAGGGCTTGTAGTGTCAGCCGCCCCGGCTAGGAGCGGTGTGGCTGGGGGCCTGGGGCCAGCGAGGAGGGAAAGTGGCACTGCGGTCTCCACCTCCCTCAACAGCCCCCTGGGCTCACGCGGGGAGTGCTGGGCTCGGGGCGCCTGGTGCTGTCAACTTCTGCAGGGTTTGGGTGACTGTTCGGTGGCAGAGGGTACGCTCTGATCTGCGTCTGCAGCATTTAATGTCTCAGGGGCTTCTGGGCGCACAAAAGCGGTGCGGTGGCCACTGCGGGTGTTTCGGTGTCTTGGCGTGTTGCGTCCTTAGAGGGGGGAGAGGCAGCGGGAACGTGGTGGAGATGCTGTAATGCTCACAATGTAATTTGGGGTAATGGCTGGAGAAGAAGCGTTTGGATACTAAAACTTGAAATATGTAGAATAGCACTGGATTCATCAACGCATAATGTCATCTGCCCCTCCCCATGGCAGATGTGTGTTCAGGTGGACAAAGCTTAGTCTGGAGGAGGAAATAGTGAAGTGCTCTGCCCAGTCTCTTATCTGAAATACCACTCGAGCTCCCGAGAGCGAAGAGGTGCAGCTTCTCGTGTGGATGGAAATGGCAAGTTGCATCCTTGCAAGTGGAGGGCTGTATTTTAGGTGAAATAAACAGAAAAAAGCCGTTCACAAGTAGACCTTAAATAAGTTAATCTGCTTTGTAGCATGTCGGGGATATGAATGTGTAATTAAAATTTGCTTTGGCTGTTCAGGATTACAAAATCAATCTAAATAAATACATAATGCAGTTGTTCGGTTGCACAAAGACCAAATGAACGATTCTTGAGTCCTTTGTGGCAATTAGCAAGAATGGTGT